ACTGGTTTCTTTAAGCTTTCATGCAAAAAAAGCTGAGAGCTTTGACTTTCTCTTAGACGCTGCGTCTGAGAGCAAAGCAAATGTTGTAGGCTGTAAAACCAACTTAACACACAGAGGTTGGCCTTTAAACATTAAACATAGTGCTGAGATTGTTTGTGTTAGTGTTAGACCTCTTTTAAGAAGAAACTCTTGAGATGAGAAATATTTTGTGCAAGTGTCCTTAGAGAAGACAGGCAGGCAGGCTTAGACCTCCCAGAAAAACCTGCAAACCCTGCCGAGGTTCACTCCTTCTTGCAGTGAGGCAGTGAACTCCGTCTTGTTTCTGGTTGTTTCCCTTAAGGATTTGTGGAAATGATAACTACAAAATAGCTTCTCAGTTTGTGACCTTTGATCAAGCTTTGGTCTCCCTGCTAGGAAGATGTGGTCATGGGCACCCTGACCGTGAGGGAGAATCTGCGTTTTTCTGCCGCTCTGCGACTGCACGTCTCCGTGCCTCAGGTCGAGAAGGAGGCTCGAGTCAATCACCTCATTAAAGAACTGGGTCTCACCGAAGTGGCTGACTCCAAGGTGCTGCAGATAATCACAGCCTGTCACTCACCTGTCCTCTAACAAGCAGCCTGCCCCGGCAGATGAAGCTCGTTTTCAGCGATTCCCATTGTGTTTTGTTGGTGTTTTTTTTGTTCCTCAGGTGGGCACGCAGATGACCCGAGGAATCTCAGGAGGAGAGAGAAAGAGGACAAACATCGGCATGGAGCTGATCATCGATCCTGCTGTCCTATTTCTGGATGAACCGACCACCGGGCTAGACGCAAGCACTGCTAACTCTGTCCTGCTCCTGCTGAAAAGGTGAGAAAACCCGGACTCTCTCTAATTTCACAGATTTCTTTAAAATAAGGTAAAATCTTGAGCTTCTGGGCTTTAAAGGATTTTTAAAAGTGTCTCAAGCTAAATTCTGGAGTTTGGTTAACTTTAAACAGAAGCTTATCACTTTACATAGAAGAATTACAGCAGGAAAACTGCTGCTGTTTGCTTCTACTTTATTTAGATCAATTTATTGTGGTGCCTATTGATTTTTTTACTGTGTTACGTGTCTTTTCAGAATGGCGAGTCATGGTAGAACCATAATTATGTCCATCCACCAACCTCGCTACTCCATCTACAGACTGTTTGACACTCTCACACTGTTGGTCGGTGGTAAAATGGTGTACCACGGACCAGCACCAAACGCTTTGGAATACTTTGCCAACATCGGTGATTACACTGACTAAACAGTAACATCACAAGACACTTCTTTACAGTTTTCTTTAATTTATGAAGTAAATAAATGTAGATGGATGTGCAGCTTCTAAAAAAGCTGCAGGGTCACTATATGTATAGGATTTGCTTTGATATTGAGCTGCAACATTGTGATTTGTGTTCAAGGCTATGCCTGCGAGGCCCACAACAACCCAGCTGACTTCTTTTTGGATGTGATTAACGGAGACTTCACCGCCACAGCAATGACCAAAGTGCACGGCTCTGAAGGTAGCGGCATAATTAACCATCCATGAATATTCAGTCAAGTTTGTATCACATCTCCTGGTTTAATAGAATAACAACAAACAAACATATCCTGTGCAAATGTGCCCATTTCTTTGCATTTTTCTTTGATTTTGCAACATCCACAAAAAGGCACGATACAGTAAAGAAGATACAGTATTTTTACCTGGAACTTTTTATTAACAAGTTATTTAAAGTGTTTTAACTTTGACATTTATAGTGATTAGAACAACATGTCAAACGCACAAATTAGAGTTGACAGAGTAAAACAGGAACACAGATGGTTTTTACTGGACCTCATAACGTCTTAATTTTTGTTAACATTTTCTGCAAGTGAAAAAATTTCACGTGAAAACGTAAGCAGAAAAAATCAGGGATTCCTTCACATCCATGGGAGATTTTGATAAAGTCATGTAGAAAACAGCTGAAGTTGTGGCTGCTAAAGGGGGTTCTACAAGCTGTTGAATCGTGGGGTGTACATAGTCGACCATTAACTCTATTCTAGAGTCAAATCTGTATATAAAGTGCCAGAGTGAATTGGTGCTATGAACATAAAATATAACTGAGTGGGTTTTTTTGTATTTGTGAACAGATTTGGACTTCAAGGAGCTCAGTAGCTCCAGGCAGAGCATCGAGGAGCGCCTGGTGGATGAGTACAGGAACAGTGGTTACTCCAGCAACACACGAGCTGAACTGGAACGCATTGTTAAAGATAAGCGCTGTGGGTCCCTCCCAAAGTCCCGCACCATCACCTACAACAGCTCGTTCTTTCACCAGCTACGATGGGTCCTTCACAGAACATTTCAGAACCTCATGTTGAACCCCCAAACATCTGTGGCCCAGGTAAGCACGTACACCATCGTCTTTTAGGGCACGCGTTCGACTTTCAGACGTCGGTCAGTGCCACTCTCGTGTCTGTCAGCTGAACATAAAGCTCATTAGCTGGTGAAGACTTTTACCAACTATTTTGTAGCTATATGGGTAACTTTAAATAGTTAATTAGTGACAGGTTTAAACTTAAGTATGTTTAAAAATAAAAGCATACACTGTTCCAAAAAATAGTAATGTCAAAGTATCTTACTGTATATTTTACAGTTTTGTACTGTCTTTCTAGAATATCATGAAATTTACATAGGTAGACTGTGATTTTACATGTCAAAGGTAAAATAACATAACATCACTGTAAATATAGTAAAACACAATTTACTTGTTTTTTAAATATATATTTTTTGTACATATGTATATTTAGATTGTAAAAATACATTCAGAAATGTATCATAATTTCACAAATATTTGTCTGTTATGTGAGAGAATGATCTGTTAAATTCAAATGGAAAAATATATAAAATGATAGAAAATTAATGAGAATAATCAATAATTGAAGGAGTATTTGAATTATAATTTTGCTGAAAATTTCATGTCATCTAGGTCTGATTCAATAATTCAGAGGTAACAAGTGAAAATATAATTAATAGGAATAAAAACAAAAAAAACAAACATATAAAACATTGCCCGGCCACGCTGTGCTCATTATATATTTTAAAAAATAAATGTAGAGGTAGGAATTGCAATTAA